ATCCCCCCTTCCCTAATTTTCCAGCAGGCTAATCGTGATCACCGGTGTGTCCGTTATTTCATCTGCTTAAAATGTATGATTTTTCTACTGAGCTTTAGAATTTTTAGTTTTATTATTTTTTATTGTTGAATTTAGTTTAAAACCCTAATTTATGATTAAAAAATAAAAGAGTTCAATTCTGAAAACCCTAACTCACTACATGTAATCGTGATCACCGGCATGTCCGTTATTTCATCTGCTTAAAATGTATGATTTTTCTACTGAGCTTTAGAATTTTTAGTTTTATTATTTTTTATTGTTGAATTTAGTTTAAAACCCTAATTTATGATTAAAAAATAAAAGAGTTCAATTCTGAAAACCCTAACTCACTACATGTTAATTCATTTGAATAACACTAGTAATCATATTTTTTTTAAAACACTTATAAACCCTAACTCATTTAAGTTTCAATAGTGCTATAAGTAAGTGTGATTATTTAAGTTTGTAATGTGAAAATATGTGAAATAAATTTTTTTTTAAAATAGAGTGATATATAACACATTATAATTTTTTATAATGTGTTATAATCTAATTTAGGTGAATAAAAAAATAACGTTATCCCTAGACTCCTGTCCAATAATTACATCCAATTCTTTAGACTTATAATATATGATATACGACTCAGATTTGGGTAGGAGATGAAGTTTTCTCCCGAAAATGAGCGTTTATTTTATATTATAGGAATAAAAAATTAGTACTGAAATTCGTAATTATTAGATCTATCCTTCTCGGACGGGTAAGGAATATAGTTATGCATACATCCAACTTTGTATATTTTGTATATTTTTATTTTTGAAAGTTTTGGCAGCATGTATTCGCTGTTCTCCGTGTACAATAATCGTATATTGTTCTGCATTTTGGGTTATTGCTGATACACATAATAACATACGCACAGTGTACAGGGAGAACAGCGGGTAGGTGCTGCCAAAATTTTTAAAAAATAAAAATATACAAAGTATATGAAGTTAGATGTAAGCACTACTATATTCTTAATGGATAGAAGCCTTCCTATGACAGCCATTAGATTAGTGTAATTAGTTTTTATATACGTTTTATATATATTTTATATAGATAAATAGTCATATTATTAAATGATATATGAACGTATGTTTGATGTGTGTTGAATGTATAAGAATCATGGATGTATTAGTAGTTGTGAGATTAATCGTATTTAATAATTATATATAATTTACAGATAAGGATAATTCTTAACAAATCATGGATAGATATCACTAGGCATCATAGATTTCGTGATACACGATACAAGGAGGGATGTGAAGATTTCATGCGTTATGCGGAAATGAATCCGAGAAATTTAAGAAACGGTGCTATGTATTATCCTTGTTGTAGGTATAGGAATTTGAAGCTGCTGAATTGAAATGATATACTGATTCACCTAATAAAATCAGGTTTTGATGAAAAATATAAATATTAGAACTGACATGGGGAAGGTATCACTGAAGATGAGGATCCAAATATGCGTGTTGGTACGTTCGGTAGCCAACGAATAGATGACACAGAAACAATGTTGAATGATATTTTTCCTTGACCTACAGAATATGATGTTAATGATAATGTCGAGGATGATATTAGAGATAAAAGTGAAGATGAAATCGAAGTTGAAGCTGAAGAGGTGGGAGATGTCAAAAGTGCCAAAAATATTAATGATATGCATTCCTCCGTATAAATAAAACGAATAATGGAGCTACTAGAAGATAATAAAAAGGACTTATATGAGGGATATACCGAGTACTCCAGATTTTCATTTATGTTAAAACTCCTACATATTAAGACACTTAGCAGTATGTCAGATAATTATTTTGAAATGCTTCTTGATTTGTTTCGAACTGTAATTCCTGGAGGAGAGAATAGCATACCCCAAACAACTTATCAAGCTGAAAAGATTGCCTCTTCTCTGGATCTTGATTATAATAAGATTGATGCATGTTCGGATGATTGTATTTTGTACCACAAAGCCAATAAAGACCTTCAAGAGTATCCGACATGTGGAGTTTCTAGGTGGAAGCAGCGCACAAATTCTTCAATAAGGATTACAACGGAGACAGGGATAACACAGAAGAAAATTCCAGCCAATGTGCTTCGACATTTTCCATTGGCTCCTAGATTGCAAAGATTGTACATGAACAAGGAAACGGCAAAGAATATGAGGGTGACACAAGGAAGATCGAGTAGACGATGGTAAATTAAGACATCCTGCTGATGCTTTAGCTTGGAAGCATGTTGATAAAATTTATTCTCGTTTTGCCGAAGATTGCAGAAATGTAAGACTGGGTCTATCAAATGACGGATTCAATCCATTTGGGGTAATAAGCTTTGGTTGGTCTACATGGCCAGTTGTATTAATGTCATATATTTTACCTTCATTACTTTGTATGAAATAACCGTTTATGATACTTTCATTACTGATACCCGGTAAGCATGCACCGGGAAATGATATTGATATCTACTTAGAGCCTCTAATTGATGAGCTGAAACAGCTATGGTCTGAGGGTATTTTAGCATATGATGCCCATTTAAAAGAGTCGTTTAGATTACGTGTTATTCTATTATGAATGATTAATGATTTTCCAGCTTATGCTAATTTATCCGGGTACTCTACGAAGGGCAAGTATGTTTGTCCTGTATGTGGTCCAGAATTTAAAGCTCTTTAATTACCACATAGCCGAAAAAGTTGTTATTGGTTTAATTGAAGGCGGTTGCCTTTGAGTCATAAGTATAGAAAATTATCAGCTATGTTTGATGGCACAGTTGAGAAAAGAATAAAGCCACATCAACTGACAAGTAATGAGATCGTAAAATTACTTGAGGGGTTTCCAAAAGTTGTGTTTTGGAAAAAATCACTATTCTAAATTTAACCCGCTCGGAGTAAGAGATTACTTAAAGTCAAAAATCCATTGAAGCGTAAGCGAAAGGTCCATAAAATGCAAGTTGAGGACGAAGCCCAAAAATTACCTAGATGATGGACTAAATTTAGTATCTTCTTTCAGCTACCTTACTGAAAAAATCTTAAAATCCGACACAACTTAGATGTCATGCATATTGAGAAAAATATATGTGATAACATAGCATCAACTCTCCAACAAGATGCAAACAAGTCGAATGATAACCTACGGGCACGCCAAGATATGACTACTTTGAATATCTAAAATGATTTGCAAGCTCAAGACATTAGCCTTAAAAAATTAACGTTACATCTGTCTCGTGTTACAATGTTAAATGAGCAGATACAAAGAGTTTGTAAAATTCTCAAATCGGTAAAGTCACCGGATGGTTACTCTGCTAAGATTTCAAATAATGTCCAGGTGTAAGAGAGAAAACTCTTAGGTCTGAAGATCCATGATTATCACGTTCTTCTCCATCAATTGCTCCCTGTTGCAATCTGTAATAATATGGAGAAAGAAGCATCGAAGATTATTATTGAGTATTGTGGATTTTTTAGTAAAATTATGCTCTAAAGTCATAGATGTAAATGAATTTAAAAAACTTAAAGGTGAGGTAAAAGTTACTCTATGCAATATGAAAGTAATATTTCCTCCTTCATTTTTTACAATTATGGTCCATCTTACTCAGAACAAGCTGATCAGTGCTTCTTTGTGAAAGATCCGAATGTCATGTCTGATTGGGTGGTTTTGTACAAGGAGCCAAGATCTGTTGTTCTTCCTAATAACAATGAAAAAAAATATTGAAGAAAGTGAAGATAATTATAGTGAACCAATTGGGTCATCTGATGATGTTTAGCAAGAACTCTCTTACACGTAGAATGTAGCGCTGGATGTAGGTATGAACTATATATGTTACACTGCATTATCGATTTTTAGCTTATCATATAAAAAACAATAATGTATTTTATAATGAAATATCTCATGAGCATGTATACAATTTTTTACTTAACAATTATCTTTATTAAATTTGCAGATGAGGAGGGCGAGAAGGCTCTTTGACCCGGAGGGTGATCGATCATGGAGTATCACCCCAGGTAGTGGTGCTGATGATACACTACCATCTCCGGATACAGGTATAAAAATTAATTAATATTTTAATATATTTTATAAATTATTAGTTATCTAGCTCATAGTGTTCATTTGTTGCAGATGCGGGATATTCATCACCCGACCCCTCTGATGCAGCATCAGAACCATCCCCCGACGCAGGTATTTAATATTTAATAATTGATAATGGTCCATTAAAATTTCATATTAGTGATTCCCCTCTCTTATGAAGGTGCGCGCTTCTTAGACCCCGACATATCCATCATATACATTCCATACTGACTTGTGACCGAAGACACAGGACTATCTCAGTTTATCCTTACCTCCAGACTCTCATAAGTCTAAGGCTGACTCAAGGAAGTACCACCCACGTGCTGCAAGAAAGTTAGAGGAAATGCTTCCTATGTTGGAGACTAGGAAAGCTGTTGCACTCGCTGCAAAAGAAAGAGAGATAACGAATGGTAAATTTTATAAATACTTTTAATTTTCATATTTATATATTATATGATATGTTATCATGTTATTATTGTAGGCGTTAAGCGAGATCACGTAGAGAACAGACGTGACGGAGGTAAGCCTGAATCTAAACAACCGTCAAGAGAAATGAGGGCGATAATTCGATGGAATAGTTCTAATTTGCCCGTTGATCCTTGGTCGACCCGATTGAATGCATATATTAGGGTTCTCGTGCGTAGAGAGAACATTATTAACCCTTATTTTTATTTTCAAGAATTACCATGGACCGCATACGAGGTGATATGGACTGAGCTTATGGTAAATACATATTGTTTTAGATTTTCATTTATTAATAATTAATAATTGATATTAAATTGTTCTTACTAAATTTGTATGTAAATCTACAGGACTGCTTCTACCTTGAGGACTTTGAGGGGGCTTGGAATTATGTGTTTAATGTCAAGGTTGAAGCAGTCCTCAAACAATAGAGACATGAGATCAAACATAAAACCTATGACAGGTATGAGGAGGACTGGCAGAGGTTTTTAAACATCGATGACCGAGTTGACGAGATTTATTTTACGGCTCTCCTCATGTATTGGGACAGCGATGCCACCAAGGTTAGTTTCATGAAAATTACTTTATAATTTTAAGATATTATTTTATTGCATATTTTCAAATTTTTTTAAGAATAAATCCACGAAGGGGTCAGAAAATAGAAGAAAGAAGCTGCATGACCACCACTTGGGCTCACACTCCTATGCTAATCTGGATGATGTTTATTATCAGGATACGGTATATGTCATTTAAAGCTTTAAATGATCTTAATGCTTAGTATGATTATGAAATCTCATAATTTATAATATGACAGGGAAAATCATTAATACCGATACATTTGAGGGCAAAAGCGGCGTATGATACTTTCCGTAATAGATATAGGGGTGATGAGAAGAATCAGGATAAGATCAAGGCAAATCTTGAGTTGGTGGTGAGACTTATACATATCTTGAGTAGTATTATTAACTCTATTTTCTTGTTAACATTACGAGGAAACGAGAATACAAATAATATAGTCTTTACCTTGAATTAACTACAGATTTGTGCTTTAGAAGGGATTTAAGGCTGTATCCAAGGAGGCTGCATCTGTGTACATTTCACACGAGGAGGAATAAACCGAGTCGGACCCTCACATGCTTTCTACAGAGGAGAACATCACTCTCACACAGAACCTGATGGGTCATAATAGGTATGGATGGTAAAAAATCGAATCAATTTGAATACTACATACTATTTATATTTATTTACCATTATTGAATTTGAGAGCAAAATTTAATACTTATTTCTCCCTAATAATAGGAGAGGAAGATATCCTCTGCATGGTGTCGGAGCTTCACCCGGTGTAAGCATGAGATCATCTACAGCATCCTCCATGCCATCTACATCAATGAGATCAGCCACAAGCAGTTTCCAAGCTATACCATTTGTCGCACGTATCTCTGCGTATTTGATTGACAAAATTAACCCGGAGCTGCATATTCAGGTGACAAATGAGATGACTAGAATTGCGCTAATGGCGAACTCGATGGATGATCTCATGGGGTATATTATACAATATTTAGATGGTGTGATTCCTTATAGCGCGTATGGTGGTATCATACGGATCATAAGGTCGATTGGCGATAATTCCGATGCTAGACAGAGCAACGCTCAGGTTCCTTATTTTTTCTTATATTTATAAATTTATTTTTATTTAATATATTATCAAACACCACATAATGATTATTCAATTGAATATTCAGAGTGGAGATATTGGAGGGAGCAGCACCCGTTCTCGTAATCGGGATAGAAATACTCCCGCCGACGATGATGGATGAGGCTTTTTTTTATTTTTAATGCAATAAACAATTTTATTTGTAATAACACTATATTTATTCATGTCATGTATCCTATCTTAGTCATGTACATTGTTAGTATATATGATGTTGGATGTATATATTAGACGGAACTGGTTGATGTATATTTTAGAGTAGATGGTTGGATTTGTGCAATGTGTTGGATTTGATTATATTTGATTTTGAATGGAATTGTTATGAATTTTGATTATAATTGGATGGTTGTATGTATTCATGTGTATAGTATTTTCTGGATGTATTCATTAATGGAATTGTACAAGAAAATACAATTTATAATTAATTTTTTTGCTAAAAAATATCAACCTAGATGGAATTTCGTCTACGTTGAATCAACCTAGACGAAATTCCGTCTAGTCTGACAACCTAGATGGAATTCTTACTTTCGTCTAAGTTGGCTTTCGTGTAGATTGATCAACCTAGACGGAATTCTGTCTAGTTTGAGTCAATGTAGATGGAAGCAAAATAAACGGACCTAACTAGAGAGAATTTCGTCTAGTTGAACTAACCTAGACAGGATTTGGATCAACCTAGACGGAAATTTCCATCTAGGTTGCTCATTTTTCTACTAGTGATAAATGCACTAATTAGACAGAAAAAAAGACTAGGTGTAACCAATTATGAGTGAAGATAATTAAAAATATACATATATAGAAATAATGTAGTTAACAAACTAAAGGATAAAATAATTCATATAGTTGACTTCAAAGATTCGAAGTAAACAATATGGTATATTATATTATATTCAAGTATGTGTGTGTGTGTGTGTGTATATATATATATATATATATATCGTGGAATTACCAAAAGGTGAGTTGAGAAGAAGACAACTAAAATACAAGACAATTCAGTATGGCGAAGAAAAATACCTTCTTCTAGATTATGAAGAACAAAAGATTATAATCTCTCCCTCACAATCTCACTAGAATCGAGAACAACCTCTCATTCCTGTCTAAACCCTAATACAAAGATTAGAATCTCTCTCTGATCTAAGATCATAAAACTGATCATGAAACTCCTGTTTAGAAACCCTAAACAACCGTTTATATAGGTGTACAAACGTGGATGGCAATCTGATAAATAACCAAGCCCAAAACCAACAGGAATTCGTGTGAACAAAAACCCAAACGAATCAGGAAACTATCGATGAGTCGACTCATGACTGAGACGAGTCGACTCATGACCTCATATGAGTCAACTCATAACTGATGAGTCAACTGGTCAGAGATTTTTGCTAACAGGGCTTGATTTTGTGAGTCGACTCATGACAGTCATAAGTCGACTCAACCTGATGAGTCGACTCATGTACATGTATGAGTCGACTCACGAGCTAAAAACTAGATTCTTCAAATCTGCTGCTCATTGTCTCGTTTCACGCTTCCACCTGTGTTCCACTGTACTAATTGACACCTCTATTCTCATGCTATCATGAGAATCATCTATCCTCAAGCTCCCATGAGGATCGCTAAGTTCCGAAGAGAAGATACACATGTATCATGCTTTGATTCTTCGTTCTTCCAACTCGCTTCACGCTCCATCCTGTACTCCGCCGTATCGCTTCACACCACTATTCTCAAGATATCATGAGAATCACCTATCCTCAAGCTCCCATGAGGATCACTAAGTTCCCAAAGCAGAGAAGAAGATACACACGTATCACCCATGACCCTTCCTCCTCTCTAAAAGCCTATCCCAAAACCAGATCCAGATCTCTCAAATCCCCATGAAGCTATCCCTCTCCCTCTCTCTCAACACAGATGCTAACGCCGAGCTCCCCCGTCGAAGATCCTCCCTCCTCCCTCTCTCAACGATCGATGCCGACACCGAGCTCCCCCATCGAAGATCCTCCCTCCTCCCTCTCTCGACACTGACACCGACGTCGAGCTCCCTCGTTGAAGTCCCTCCCTCCTCTCTCTCTCTCAACGACCAACGCCGAGCTCTCCCGTCAAAGACCCTCCCTCCTCCCTCTCTCGATACTGACGCCGACGCCTCTCCCCTGTTGAAGACCCTCCCTCCTTCCTCTCTTAACACCGACGCCGATGTAGGTAATAACTCGAACCCTCTCTCTCAATCTCTCCCTCGATTCCTTTGATTGGACTGTGCTGAAATTAGTTATACTAAAATTGGTTTAATGGGTCTTTTTTGTTTAATTGGTTGTCCTAAAATTAGTTGCTATGGAGATGGGGTTTTGGATTCTGGGTGTAGACCTATTATCGAGTTGAATTCATTATGTGTGAGCATGGATTGAATGCAAGCTCAATTGTAGTCCGTCATTTGGAAATTTGGACGTATGATATTCCACTTCTTCTCTATGAACTGTACACTTCTGGCGAGAAATCTGTAGAATATGGTATTTTCCAGTGGATATGAAAGTCATGAAAGCAACGCTGATAGGATTATGTATAATATTACACTCTGATTAGTTTGGACTTTTTCTTGTTTTGTTGTTTCCTTTAGAGTGCATGGTATTTGTTTTGTATCAGCACATGAGCTCAAGGCTGTATACAATTTGTGTATTGTTCTTCTTCTGCAACTAATCATGTATATTTAAAACTCTGGTTACAGAATTATTTGCATATTGTTTCTTTGTGCCTTAGACTTGTGTACAATTAAACTTTTTTATGGGTCTGTAATTGTGTTACTCGGAGGCTCAGAGTATTGGGGACACCAAATACCTACAGAAAGTGCTTTGGAGTAAGCTGAACATGCTGTATGTAATGTTGCAATACATACCTACATAAGTTACTTTGAAGTTTTCTTTGTATTTTTAGAACTTGAATCAGCTTGACATCAATTTGAAAATTATGTTTTCCAACATAATTTTTCAGGTTATCCATGGCAAGAAAGAGTTTCTATATTGTGAAGAGAGGTCGATGATTTGGCATCTTGATAATTGGGAGGAATGCAAACCTTAAGTTGATAAATTCCTAAATATCTCCTACAAAGGGTATGCAATGTACAAAGAGGCTTTGCTTGAATGGGAGAAGCACACCATCGCTCGTGATCCAGCATCCAACTCAAGGCCTGTTCAATTTCAACAACAAATACTTCCGTCGGGGCATAATCTGGATGAGGACAAGGAAAAACTTGGGGAAACTACTATTTCCTCCATCTATACTTTTGTATTAGGTTCATTGTTTACAATATTAGTGTTTTAAGTATGTATCGTTGCGGTATTTGTTGGTTTCTCCATTACAAAAAGCATGTGATGTGATTTGTGGATGAGCTTGCAATGTGAGGATAAGCTTGCATGGTTTTTGTCATTGAGCTTGTATGTGATGTGATTTGTGGATGAGCTTGCAATGTGAGGATAAGCTTGCATGGTTTTTGTCATTGAGCTTGTTTGTGGACACTTGTGTATTATGATTTTTTATGTGAGGATAAGCTTGCATGGTTTTTGTCATTGAGCTTGTTTGTGGACACTTGTGTATTATGATTTTTTATCATCTTGAGCTTATTTTCATTCTATGAAAAATGTATACGTAGTTAATTTGTTGGTTCTTTGCTTGTTCATTGTTGTCGTTGTTTTTGTTCTATCTGCTTGTTCGTTGTTGTTGTTATTTTTGTTGTTGTTCTATCTGCTTGTGTAACTTGGTGATGTAATAGTTCTGTGATGGAAAAGAAAGGGTGTATTCCCAATTGTAAGCAAAAGAGCCTAGGCAACTAAAAACATACAAATCAGCTCCACAACTTGGCAATACACCATGTTTCCTTGCATTATTTCTAGGTTACTATAATGAGGAAGCATGTTTATGTTTGTTCACTTTGGACTTCCAAACAAGAAGCTGGACATGCCTGAAATATTACAAATCCTAAATATTACATATTCTATATTATGTCATGTTAGCTCTAACTTATACCATATTAGTTCTAATTTATACCGTGTTAGTTCTAACTTACATCATGTTTGTTCTAGTTTACACCATGTTAGTTCTAGCTATAATCATGTTAGTTCTGGTCGTATTCAAGTTAGTCCTTATTTGGGTCATGTTAGTCTTGGTTGGCGTCATGTTAGTTCAGAATTGGGTCACGCTAGTTATAATAAAGGTCGCGTTAGTTCTATGGCATGTTTGCATCTCATGTTAGTTCTATCTCATGTTAGTTCTACTGCATCTCATGTTAGTTCTATCTCATGTTAGTTCTATTAGGAGTCATATTAGTTGTCATCATGTTAGTTCTAATGAAGAACCTGTTTGCTAGTTCTAATTGAATTCATGTTAGTTCTATCACAGATCATGTTAGTTCTAATTTATGCCATGATAGTTCTAATTTAGAACTATCATGCGAGTTCTAATTTATGCCATGTTAGTTCTACTTTATGTCATATTAGTTCTACCTATACTCATGTTAGTTCTAGCTACACTCATGTGAGTTCTAATTTATGTCATGTTAGTTTTAATTTATGTCATGTTAGCTCTAATTTACACCATGTTAGTTCTAACTACACTCATGTTAGTTCTAGTCATATTCATGTTAGTCCTCATTTGGGTCATGTTAGTCTTAGTTGGCGTCATGTTAGTCCTACCTTGGGTCACGTTAGTTCTAATAAAGGTCGTGTTCGAATTTATGTCATGTTAGTCCTAATTTATATTATGTTAGTTCTACCGCAACTCAGTTATTTTATGATATGTGAGTTCTAATTTATGCATCGTGAGTTCTAATTTATACCATGTTAGTCTTAATTTATGCCATGTTAGTTCTATCGCGGCTCATGTTAGTTCTAATATATGTCATGTGAGTTCTAATTTATACCTCGTGAGTTCTAATTTGTGCCATGTGAGTTCTAATTTATGTCTCGTGAGTTCTAATTTGTGCCATGTGAGTTCTAATTTATGTCTCGTGAGTTCTAATTTGTACCATGTTAGTTCTAATTTATGCCATGTTAGTTCTATCGAAGCTCATATTAGTTCTAATTTATGTTACGTGAGTTCTAATTTATGTCACGTGAGTTCTAATTTATATCATATTAGTTCTAATTTACATCATGTTAGTTCTATTGCGGCTCATGTTAGTTCTAATATATGACATGTGAGTTTTAGTTTATGCCTCGTGAGTTCTAATTTGTACCATGTTAGTCCTAATTTATGTCA